AATCTGCAACTTCGAATTCAAAACACAGGTGTTCTGAGTATTGTCTGTGTGTGCAAATCGATAGATGCAGCTTTTCACATCAGAGCTGTGAGTATAAATTTCAACTTACAAATACAAATATTAATTTTGCAAGTTCTCACATTCAAATTAGCAAGCTCTCGAGTTTTGCTACTGTTTTACCTTCATACATAAAGGATATAATTAACCTTTAGTATAGGTTTCACGAATAAAGACATTCATAGCCAAGGGCTGGAGTCCGATGTGCGCTAGCTGCTCACTGGTTACAGTGCAGCCAGTGGTGGAAGTTATGGTCCCGTAATGGAAGGGGGTTCCGTGAAACACCAAATTGCAAATTAAAGTTGCACATGAAAAGCTGCAAATGAAAGTTGCACATGAAAAGTTGCAAATGAAAGCTGATTGCTATTTATTTTTCTTGGTATGTAGTAATAAAACGAAACGAAAGCGCATGTTTTGCCGCTTGTTTGAATGCACTCCCCTTGTGGGAAAATTGGACTGTTCCGTGACATAAGCCTATCGCTGCAGCCGGAGCCGAGTGGGTGGAGCAATGTCGAGTAAGAGAGGATGTGTGTTATCCAGGGGCAGCTAATTCAGCGCCCGGGGAGCCGCGCTTGGGGGCGGTACCTTGCTCAGGGTACGTCAGTGGTGCCTTGCTGGTCGGGGATTCAGACCAGTAATCTTTCATTTACAAGTGCGCTTCCCTAACCATTAAGACACCACTGCCCTCAATAAAGAGGTATCACGAAACTCCTGGGCATCGACCGGGTAAATACGGGATTTAATGCGGCTCACACACATGGAAACACGCAATGACATTAATGACCGGACTGGGGAAACATACCCTAACGCAGACTTAAATACACAGGACTAATGAAAACAACTCGAAACAGCTGCCGACACGGGGATTCCACACGCGGTTAACGAGGGGGTGTGGCACACGGAAGGATCGGACGAGCGGGGCATGACAAAAGGAAGCTGGTCTTAAAATCATGACCAAAGGATTCATAGCCACACACTCAGCCCATAGAGCTACGCAGCAACTTGGCTATGCAGCAATCTGCTGATTGCTATTTATGAAACTACTCAAGTACAAATCATGAACAATTATAGTAGCTACTTGAGATAAAAGATGTGTTACTATTCATTAATGATACAAACATGAGAAGTATTTCGGTTTTTGTGTTCATTATTTGTTCCTTCAGTAGTTCACAAAACTTTATAGAATTAACACATATAGTAACAAATATAGTAATTGCTTGAAATAAATGATAAGTTCACAAAGGTTTGGGACGGAAACATCTATTACTGCATGGTGATTTAAATCGTTTCGGCTATCTTTGAAAAATAAACAAATATCGAACAGGCGTGATGTTTCTGCATAAATGGTTTAATTCAACACGCTCGTAGCAAAACGAAATGACAGAGTACACCGTCTAACTAGACACCGTCTAACTAAACTAGCTGGGAAGGTTATT